TCCATATTTTTTAATCACGTACTATCCACCAATCTACTGTTCCAAAATGCATTCGACATCAAAAATAGGGTTCAAACATGCTCTAAGTATGCTAAGCCACTTCTTTGACCTGGTATTAGCAATTCATACCCTAGGGATACAATTAGATGGATGCTTTTCGAGTTATACAATGTTTTTACCTTGATGTTCATTACGTGAACTTTTTTACTTTTGATTAGTTTATGATTTTTATTTTGCTAATTTGCAGATGATAGTAAGTGCTATATATGTCCTTAGCCCGGTGGACATTATCCCTGAAGGTAAGGTACAAATGGTTGCAAATTGCCTTCTATTTGCTTCCTTACTATGGTTAAGTTAAACTTTTCTCTTCTTTTCCCATGACAGCGCTGCTAGGTATCATTGGTCTTCTCGATGATTTCATCGTCGTGTTGATATGCTTCCTCCATGTTGCTGCCCTTTATCGATCTGTTCTTGTTCTCCGTCATGGAGGTTCTTAAGGTCGACTGAAGTTTTGATTGCAACTACTGAAGAAAAACATTTACATCATATCTTCATGTTGGAATTATGTTTTTCCTCTCTCCTATTGTTGCAGTGGCACAATCTCACCCATCGAATTGTATTGAATACTACATTTCAACATAATCTTCATTATTCTTCCTTTTACTTTGGATGGTATGCGCAGAAATTTCAATTGAGAGCCTCATAATTTCTAAATTCATTTGAAATTACACAAATTTTCTCACTTTCAGCTGGTAGAGGTAGCACACAACGATACTCAGTGCAAGCAAGTTGGGACATAATTAATCAAAATATTTAGATTATTACTGATAATTATTAAATAATTGATAATAATCTCTCTCTCTCTCTCTCTCTCTCACGCACACAATGGAAGTCCTTCCAATGTGAAAGTTGATCATGCTAACAAAAACAGAAACCATCATGGCACAACGAGAATTGATATCATATTCTCAAAAATATGTTAATACTTTTATATGACATGTTGAATTAAGCTAGAGTATCATCGTGGAATCTTAAAAGAGTCCAAAATGGTTCCAATCAATACAATACACTACAACAGTTAATGTATATGGTCCAATACAATTTTATAGTGCTAAGTGTATAAAAAGGAAAACTGACTCAGAGTTCACTATGGATGAGATATTCTGTTTCTTTTTCCAGTTTATTAATGATGTCCTTATCCGAGGAAGCAAGACATTCGGCCGAAGGTTGAATGTATCCATATCCAAAGCCGGCAGCAGAATTGCAGTAGGTTTCAACTGTGCCATCCTTTCTCTGTAAGTTGATGTTATTGAGCACTATGTGGGTGCAGGGGACAGTGTCGCTACAAGCAAATTTCATGGCATTTTGGCTTCTTGAAGTTCCACTGATGTTGCGGTACATGATTTGGCTTACTGCCACTGCTGAAGTCTATTAAGAATGAAAGGAAAACACATTTACGATTTTTTATGGAGAAAACAATTCTAACCCCAAAAAAGTTGTCATTCACCAATATATTCACCTGATTTTGACAAGCTGATGGTGAATCACAGTAAAATTGGTCGATGATAATGGGGTTTGAAACATCTTGCATCATCACATTTTGGTAGCGTACTGCACGAACATAACCAGATCCTCCCTATAAAACACCCGAACTTTCCTTCAGTTGTCAAATGAACAAGGATAATGACGTGTGATGGAGCAGAAAATGCACATTTGATGACAACATATTGAATGACTGCTTGCATTTTCTCTGTGCTGAAGACAAGAAAATTACCTGCCAAGTCTTGATCCTAAGGCCATTGGTTGAACCTCGGAGGAATGCATTATCCAGAACTACATTTTCAACAATACCAGTGGAGTTGTTTTTCCCAAGACTACCTATGCTGGTGTATCACGGTCATGAAAGATACTTTGCAAGTAAGTACGACAATGTAGAATACATATTCGAACTGATTCTTAAATGTGCTATTCATTGATTGTTGTAATCTAATTTCAATAAGAATTTTGTACCTAATTATGCAAAATGTGCAGAACTACTAATGTATATTGTACCTGATTCCATGACCAGGTCCACAATAGATGGTCTTCATCTTGATATTTGAGCTGGCGTTGACAATTGAAACACAGTCGTCTCCTGAACATCAAGACGTTAAGGAGGTGATAATAATGTGACATGTGGATTCATTAAATTTTTGCCAATAGCGATATTCTTTTGAGGAAAATATCAAATCTATTCAAGTTAAATACAATATGCATGTTGGAAGGCATATAAAGAGAACCTGTTCCAATTTTGCAATTCTGGAGTATTATGTTTGTTGATTCAGTGATATGGATTCCATCAGTGTTGGGACTATCCTCGGGTGCTGAAACTTTTACATCAGACACGCGCACAGAGTTGGATTTTGAAATGACAAAGTGCATCTGTTGGCTGTTTTGAATTGTAAGGCCTTTCACCCTTATGGCAGAGCTTGAATCTATTGTCAAAGCCTGCAATTTTATTATAATAAGTTCTCATTTCTGCACAGTTTAGCTGCATAGTATTCATGGTGTTCGCGTGATAGATCTAATTAGTATGGATAAGAACCTCACAGTTGGTGCTCCTTTGCATGGCTGGAAAAAAAAAACGTAAAAGTTAAAAACATAAATAAACAGTTAGGATATGGCCATAAAATTAGTTCTTGTTTGTTAAAACCAGAAAAAGTAAATGAAAATTACATTGGACTTGTTCTTTTTGCAAGATGCTGCCCACCAGTTGCTGCCTGAGCCATCAATAACTCCACCTCCTTGGAAAAGAACCTTGGTTAAATTGTAAAATTCAAGCCAAATCCTTGGGTTTTTAGGGTCCCAACTCTTTGGTTCGTCTGGTGCTACAATCGTACCTTCAATCTGTATCATTGACTTGTGTATTAGTAAAACAAAAATGCAAAGCTTAATCCATTATAGAGAGAGAGAGATACCACTATACCAGGATTACTAACTTGTCAGCACAAGGCCCTCTGAATCGTGTTGCATTGACTAGATAACGGCGCCCTTCAGGAACCAGAAAGACTGATTTTGGTGTAGAGCAAGCTTGTTTCCACGCATTTCCAAATGCCTGAAGATAGTAAGACAAACAAGCAAAAGAACGTAAATTTTAAGAAATAGAAACAAAATAAAAGGGATCCTTAAATGGTGTTACAACATATACATTCACCTGAGTATCATCTGATGTTCCATCTCCAGCTGCACCAAATGCATCCACATTCACAAGAATCTTGTTTGCGCGATCAGATTCCCATGATGGAAACTCCAACAGCTCGAATTCCTCGTCTCCATTTTCCTCTACGTCCAAATTCTCGAGCTCCCCAAGAACCTCGAATTTTCGAGAAAATTTTGGTTCTGCATTTCTACAAGGCACCAAAAGCAAAACCATAAAGGCAAGAAATAGAATCTTGTCCATGATATTTAGGTTTGTGTTTTGTTATGCTAGATTGCTTTGATTTACATAAATGAAAGTGAACTTCACAGGGGAATTAATTTATAAGTATGGATCAAATGGAGGGATTTGTGGGGGTACATGGCTTGGCTTGGAAGGTGGACATGAAAGTGTTGCATATGCCTACACTTGAAGGTAAGATTATATAATTTTAGACGATTTTGCTTTACTCTTCAGAATAGTGGCACAATGCATTATCCTTTAGTCAAACTGAGTCATGTTATCTAAACTTTATTTGTTTATTATTTTTCAGGTAAAGGGAAAGTGACATATTCTATTACAGTTGCAGTAACTTTTTTCAGGTTACCATATAATGTGGTCAGGCAATTGGAATAATTTGGATTTCATAGATATGAACCTTGAACTGGAACTTAAATTGAAGAGACCTTATAGGGTAGTGTCTAAAGTTTGATGGGGGGTAAAACAAACATGGCAAAAGGACTAATTTGAGATAGTCTAATGCAATTACTTCTCCGAGATCAGTTCTTTACAGTTAATTACGCCAATTGTCATTGATGCTTTATATAATTACGTCAATAGTGTAATAGTTACTCAAATTTCTAATAGTTACATTAATAGTGACTACATAAAAGAAGATAATCTTACGAGGCACCATTAAATGACAACCTATTACCAAATGACATTATTTATTACGTCAAGTCAGAAAAATTGTAGAGTAAAGAATTGAGGATTAAACACGTTCGGGTAAGAAATTTCAATGCGAATATGGTTTGAATAGGATTTTATGGGCTTAAATTGTATAAAAAATTCAAGTTTTATTTTTAACAATGAATTTTGCTGATTTGGCATAATAAATAATGGTATTTGGTCACATGTTAGTACTTAATGGTGACACGTAGAATTTAATGTTAATTTTTTTACCGAGTGATCATTAGTGTAACGTGTAGAAACTCGAGTAATTATTATCCTAAAAAAAAAAATAACTTCAGTGATATCGACGTAATTATTTAGAACTTCAGTGACCATTGACATAATTAACGCCAATTCTTTATTTTTGGAAACCATACACCTGTCTAACACCTACAATTCTTATAGTTCATCAAGAAAAAAATTGAAGTTTCTCATGTCTACACTATTGCTTCCGGCATACCCTCCTACCAAAATCTCCCGTCAATTTGTTTTTCTTTTAATATCTATTTTAATTTGTGGTAATTACATAAAACCATACTTTAAGTTTTTAAACTTCTAAAATCAAATTGGAA